TTGGCCTTGAAGTTGTAGTATTCGTCGATGCAAATAGAACGATTGTTCTTTAACGTTTTCCTTCCACCTTCGATTAATTTCTCCAGTTCTTCCCAAATGTCCATGGGCAGTTGACAGTGATCGATACATTTGAAGATGTCATTGGGAATGGCCATGATTAACAACCGTTTACATTTATTCCCTAATTCGACGATTACCTTGTCTTCATCACTTCAGTTCGCTTCGGGTCGAGGCTCGTAATGCTCTGGNGTATTCGCCATTGATTGAAGAAGAATAAAAAGAAAATAGGAGAAAATTGATAAAACAGTGAAAAACAGGGTAAACTTGGAGAAGAAGACTGTGTGTTCTAGAGTCGACAAAGGATGAATACCAAGAACAGAAATAATCAAATTAAAATTTGATTCCCGCTCTGATACCAATTGTTAGGACCGAATAACTCTATTTCTTGGCAAAGATTACTGACCTGGATGATTGATTTAACATAGATAATGCAGTGGAAATAATGTGAATTAACTCAAGCAGACATCGATAAGAACACAGATGAAGATTAATGAAGAACACAAGAGAAGGCTTCAAATGATTTTTAATTGATGAAAATATTGACGATTACAATACTGGAAGCAGTCTAAATTACAAAGGCCTACACTGCTATTTATACAAGCAAGTAACCGTTTTTCTGACATGACTTAAAGTAAATTAATCTAAGTCATTCGATCAAAACCAATTACAGACAAGAACACGTGATAGGCACGAGCAGCAAAAAGACCTAAGTAAAACAGCTTAAAGATAATCTTCACAGAAGACATTGCTGCAGACCCTCTGTTAGATAACACAGAGGCTCTGCTAGATGAAACTTGGAAGTACGCAGAGGATATCTTCCAGAACCTCTGTGGGACACGACAGAGGTTCTGTCACTTGAGACGTAGTTTGTGCATCTTTTGTTGTTGGTCCTCTGTAGTCTTCTGTGATATATCATCTGCTGTCAATACTTGCAGTTTTACTTTTTCTATATTTTTACATTTAAGGAACTGAGAGCTAACACTCTTGGGTGATTTAAAGCAAATCTGGATGCCCCTTGTCAGGTTTAAGGGGTAACCCGGACAACACTCGACCGACTTCAGGTAAATCCCGGACACCACTTGTCCGGTTTAGGATGAAGTCCGCACAACATATAATGAAGTAATAAGCCARATCTATAAGCAATTAAATTGTTTATACAAACAATTGATACTTCAAAGCTTTTAACACTCACCTTTGATTTTGAATTTGACTTCGAATATTTGTAGCCTCTTTCCATTTCTTTTTCTCCCTCCGACTTTCTTCTAAATTCAGCCAAAAAGAAGCTTTTCTTTTTCAAAGGCACTTGCTAGTTAGGGCAAGTGCCATAACTGCCTTTTACTACAAAAAGAAGTCGGCTATAACACCCTCACACACACCAATCCTCACACACACACACACACATATATCTATACTACATTAATAACCATTTAGGCCAAAATCTTAATTACAAACCACAAAGCACAAAGTACTACCATTTTATACATAAATTTCAAAAAACTCTTAAAGACAAGTCATAAAACACAATGTACAACCATTTTATACATAAAGTTTAAAAAAACTATAAATTACAACTAACAAAGCATAAATTACAACCA